CCCGTCGTGCCGGGCGCCGCCCAGACCCCGGCTGAGATCAGGGCCCCATCGCGCCAGACTCTGTACGGACACAGTGAGAGACAGTCTACATAGACAAGTGTGGGGACAGGAACCGGAGACGGTAAACATGCCAAGGTCACACAGCGGGGCAGTGCAGAGCTGGGGACAGAACCTAGGAGTCCTGGCTCCCAGGCCCCCCCTGCTCTAAGCATTGGACCCAGGGCCGGCTCCAGGCACCAGCTGCGCAAGCTGGTGCTTGGGGCGACAGACTGTTGGAGGCGGCGTTCTGCCCAATCCTAGGGCGGCACGGCCGCTTTTTGTTGTTGTTGAGAACCAGAGCGCCCTGCAGGGCCGTCCTCGACCGGAGCGGAGCCCTCGTGGCAGGCGGCAGGAGGTGGCGCAGCGGGAGGGGCCGCGTGGCAGCGCCCCTGCTGTAGCCCTGCCGCCCCCTTCTCTCCCTCTCCCGCCCGCTCCCCCCCCCTGCCCGCCCTGGTTTTTTCGTTGTTTTTTTTTTTGCTTGGGGCAGCCAAAAAGCCAGAGCCGGCCCTGATTGGACCCCACTCCCCTCCCAGAGCCAGGGAGAGAACCCAGGAGTCCTGGCTCCCCCTCCAGTGCCCCACCAACTAGGCCCCCTTCCTACCAAGCAGGTGCATAGGAGGAAATCGATTTCCCTCCCAGCAAAGAGGGGGCCTCCGGTCAGACTTGCCAGGGAACAAGGAATTTGAGGGTCAGAAGCTGGGAAAAGGGGGTGACAGGAAAGGGCCAGGCCTGGCCAGGTTGGGGGCTGGGTCCCCGCTGGCTGTAGGTTGGCTCATTCCCCGCTCTCCCCATAGCTGGCGTTGGCTGCTGGGCCTCTAGTGAGCCGGGGCCGCCAGCCACTGGAGGGGATGGCTGAGCGGGCTCATGCCCAGGTGCCCTGCACCTCCTGCGGGGAGGGGGAGGCGTTGTAGGTGGGTCTGTGGGTTTCCGGGTCTAGTGACGCTCACGAGCTTTTCTTCCTTCTGGCTGAGCCCAGCGGGGGCAGTACCTGAGCACAGGCAGGGGGGAACGCGCCTGCAGGATCAGGCCCAGCGCCTGCCCTCCCAGCGGCTCAGCCCAGGCCCCGGAGGGGCCAGGAGACCCTGGCACTCCCGAGCAGGCGCCGCAAAGGGGACAGGAAGAGCTGCTCTGCAGGGGAGGGGCAGGTGTGTCTGAGGGCCCCGATCCTCTGGGGAATAGCGGGGCCTGTGCCACTGCCTGGGGGGGCGCTGCTGGCGAGAGCGGGAACCAAGCACACATGGGTTCTAGTGACAGCACTGAGAGCTCTCTGTTCTGGGCACAGAACCCAGGAGTCCTGGCTCCCACCCCTCCTCCACAACCACCCCACACCCCGCCCCATCTCCTCTCAGGGCTGGGCACAGAACCCAGGAGTCCTGGCTTCCACCCCACACCCCACCCCATCTCCTCTCAGGGCTGGGCATAGAACCCAGGAGTCCTGGCTCCCAGGCCCCATCCTGCTCTAAGCCGACTCCCTCCCGGACCTAAGCCCAGGGTGCAGGTGTCCTGTAACCACTAGATCCCACAGCCTCTCTAGACCAGTCGCCCGAGAGCCAGGCCTTCGGAACCTGTGTCAAAAGTCTCTGCCCAGCCCTGCCTGCCCCGCATCACGACCTGAGCGGAACCAAAGCCTCATTCCCTGGCCGAGCTGGGGAGGAGGGGAAACACTTTTGTTCCTTTAGCTCTGCCCCACCTCCAATTTCCTCTCCCCCCGCTTACCCCACGGTATTTCTCTGTGCACCATTTCCCCGGAAGTTTTTAAGGCCAGTTGTCCCAGGTGAGGTGGGTCCTGGCTGCCGGCTCCCTGTCAGAACCTGCTCTTAACGGTCAGGTGGAACCAGAACCGTTCCCATCCCTGCGCGGCCCCCTCCACTGATCTGTGCGCTGAGCCCACTTCCACTTCCCTGACATCACCCTTCCCGTGAGACCTCGCCACAACCCAGCAGCCGCTTCTGCTTTTCTGCAAACTGCTCATCCCCCACCACTGCCGCCCTGGCCTGACGCCGAGACACTGGGGGGGGTGGGGGTGGAGGGGAGAGCTCAGCTAGGTAACATTGACTTCGATTGGAGGCTCTGTGGGGCAGGGACCCCCGCTCTGTTCTTGGTGTGGGTCCCGGCCCATGGCTGGGCTCCCAGGTGCTACCGTAATACACCTAATAAATAACGTACAGCACCCAGCACAATGGGGCCTGGGCCATGGCTGGGGCTCCTGGGTGCTACCGTAATACACCTAATAAATACCACTAATAAAATAACCCAGGATAATTTGCAAGAAAAGCAGTCGCAGAACCAAACAATGGGGGAAAGGGGCCACGAGACGTATGGGAGCTGCACTGGGGGGGTCAGTTTCCCTTGGCGTCCCAGCTTGGGGCGGCCGGTAAGTGACAATCTGCAGGAAGCTGAAATGCGCTGAGGGCACCAGGAAGGAAAGCGCCAGGGGCTGCGCGCGTGACCAAGGGAACGGTGGGTGCCTCTGCAACGCGGCTCAGCAGCAGCATGTGGCCCGCGGCGCCACGAACCGACCCTAGTCTCTGATCAGGCCTCACTCAGCCGGGCTGGGCAATAGCATTGGACATGAGCCAGGAAGCGAAAAATTCCCATGTCGCTGGTTCCCCAAGCCGGAGCCCGGCCCTCCAGGGGTGGGGGGAGGTGTTTCGCTGGCCCCACCCTTTGCAGATGCTGCCGCGTAGGGTGACCAGACAGCAAGTGTGAAAA